CCCCGCGCGGCTGGCTTTTCATCTCTCTAACTGCCCACGTCGGTCGATCTGTTGGCCTCAGTGTCTGTCTATATGCATCTCTCTTTTTCCGTCCGTCAACATTCACACACACACACACACGCGGACATACATTGAGTGAGACAGAGGTGGGCCTGGCGCGGCGTGTTGCGCCGTGGATTTGTTTGTGCAATGGTGCGTGCCGTCAAACGGCGTGACTGACTGAGGTGGATAGGATACCCACACACAAGACGACTTATCTCATTTGCTCTGTCTGTTTGTCGTTAACGCACAAAGACCTACACAAATGCAATGCGTCCACGAAGCTCTCGCTTCTGCACACACCACATACTCTACACACGCAGTCACACACACACACACACTCACTCACAGTGCCTCTCTGTCTGTCAGTATCCCGCCGACACCACAGCACAGTAGATGAGATGCCCAAAGATCACCAAGATCACAGTCACCGCCAGCCGCAGCTTACGCAACCATCCCTTCGGCGGCATGTAGAAGAATATCGCCCTCCCACAGCTGGGGCAGCACAAACCTCTGACACCATCCAGACATCCACACACGTGTAGAAGGCGCTGGCTGTGTGAGGCTTTCTACTTACTGCAGCATCTCCCCAGTGTACTCCTCATGCATGCATCGGTCGCACATGCACTGAAACCCACGCCTCCGACGCAGCACCTCCCGTCGCACACCCACAGGACGCACCAACATCTGACGTGATGCACCAAACCATTGAAAGGCCTGTGTGTTTCTCCCCCCTCTGCCTCGGTGCATTACCGACCGCGTCGTCAAGGTAGTTGAAGGAGAGCTCGTCGTCCTCGTCGATGTGCATTTTGGCGCGCAGCCGGACAAGGCCGTCGGGGCCGAGTTCCCACTCACAGTTGGGGTAGCAGCTGTGTGAGAAGAAGCTGGGGATGAAGTACAGGGCCAAGGCCGTGGGCTCGTGGCTGTACAGAAAGGCGTTCGTCGTCCATATCTTCAACATACGCTGGCCAAAGACACACACCGAGGCACACGCACAGACACACACAGAAGCATCCATTCTCTCTCTCTCTCTCTCTTTTCTCCACTGCTCCTGACTCACTTCAAAATGCAGCGGCCTGACGACGTCAATCCACCCTGCGAGCGTGAGCACGGCCATTGTGACGTCGCTCAACCCCACCATGACAGGATGGTCCAGCACCGATATCAGATCGTACTCCTCCGCCGACAGCCGCTGCAGACACGACCGGAGAGCCTTGACACCGGCATGCCCCTCCTCGGTCGACACAAATTCCTCTGGGGAAAGCGAGTTGACCGCTGCCCAATACCTGTGTGTGCACACGAACGAATGGAGACACCAGAAAGACATGCAGAAGTGATTGATCTTGATGTGATGTCTTTCCTCTTGTTTGTCTTTCGCACCAACCAGGACGGCTCGAGGCTGCCGTCCACCTGTGCACACGCCTCCACCAGCCGGACGTACTCGACATTCCCCTCCGCCTCCCCCACTATCGCCAGGGGCCTCTCGGTGACCACCTGCTCCATCGGGCGGAACTCACGCCGGCTGCGGACGATGCGGCCCTTCCTGGGGTGGAACTCAATGGTGAATGCAGTCGTGTTTTCGCTCTCCAGGGCCGCGTTGAGCAGCGGAACCGACCGCTTGAGTGTGGCGTCGTCAAAGCCGAAGGAATGGTCCGTGAGCGGCGGGCGGAGCGGCTCGGGCTCGACTTGCTCGGGCTCGCCTTCAACGCCTTCGGCGTCATCATGCTCGAGCAGTGGCGACGTTGAACGCGGCGAATCTGACTCGCCTTTCATTCGACGAGATGGGGGGTGCCCCCACTCGGAGCCAGTCTCAAGCGCGCACTCCGGTCGACTTCAATTTTCGACGCTCGACTCATCGCAGACATGGTGGCTAAACGGGGAGGCAGCGCCGACAGAGGCAAGCGCGCCCCTCGGCGTTCACGGCTTAGGAAGGTTGAAGAGGAATCGCCTGAAGGCTCTGACAGGGACATGAAGCCGGAAGGGGAGTCCACCACCAAGAGGAGAAGGCTGAAGCGTCCGCCTAGCGATGAGGCGGGGAGAGAGGAGCAGCCAGCTGCCGCCGCCGCCGCTGCTGCCACTTCCTCGCCGACTGCGAAGTTGTCAGCATCTGAGCGCCACTTGAGGCTGAGTAGGTTGTCGCAGCGGACGAGGCAGAAGAAGGGCCTCGCCGACGACGAGGATGAGCCGATGGATGGCGGGGATGAAGATGACGACGAGGAAGAGGGTGAGGCAACACAATACACCACATTGGCCACTGACTTGCCATTTGCCCTCTCTCTCTCTCTGTGTGTGTGTGTGTGTGTGGTTGGTCAGATGAGGGGTATGACACGGATGAGTTCATTGTTGACGACGACGACGACGACGACGAGGAGCAGCAGGCGGACACACATAAGAAGAAGAAGAGGAAGCGGCGGCAGGACAAGAAGACGAAGCCCTCCCGGCCCAAGCAGCGCCGCGTGTCTGTCTCCTCACCTCGCGCGTCGAGAGCCGCACCCACCAAGCGCAACTCTGTAGGGCCAGCTTGACCTAACCAACATTTGACGACACTCGCTCGTCTGTCTGTCTGTGCAGTTTTTGTCTTACAGTAGTGATTTTGCCCGCAAGCGTGGCGAGCAGGAGGATGAGGACTCCTATGACGAAGACGATGACGACTTCATCGCCAGGTACGCACTGACATGAAGACAACGTACATGCCTCTTTCTTGCCCTGATGCACATACACATGCATGGATTGACTTATCAGGGATGATGAGGAGCCCGATGAGCAGGAGGAGGAGAGCGGGGCTGAGCAGGACGAGGGCGAGAGCGGCGAGGAAGAGGAGGCAGAGCAGCCACCACCGAGTCGCCGGCTCACGAAATCGGCCGAGAAACGGAAGGACGAAGATAGCCCAGAGGAGAGCAGTGGCCACAGCAGCAGCGAGGAGGAGAGCGAGAGTGGGGAGGAGAGCGAGCCAGACAACATCCTCGCCTTTCATAGAAAGATGATGGAAAAGCGGCCCACTGGAGTCGCCGGCCGCCCAGAGGACAACATCACTCCCAAGAAGGCATTCAAACGGTCGGTCAGCTACGCCTTTACCCTTGCGGCCTCGGTCCACACATCCATCTGCCCCGTTGTGTGTGTGGGTCAGGTATGTGGAGTACTTGGCTCTGCTGCTCATGTCGCCGACTCTCAAGTACTCGTTCTACGAGGAGCGCCAGGAGCAGCTGGACAAGGAGGCGAGGCGGCGAAGGCGGGAGGAGCGGAAACGCAGAAAGAGGCGGAAGGGACAGAAAGGCCGACAGCAACACGACGATAGCGACGCCGAGGGGGAGAGGGAGGGCGAGGGGGAGGGGGAGAGCGATGGGGAGGAGAGCTTGAGTGATGACGCAAGGTACCGTGTTGGAGACGAGTTCTATGACGATCTGAGTGAGGTGGACCTGGATGGCGACCCCGTGGCGACCTTCGGCAAGCACAAGGGCAAGCACTTCTCAACCATATGGAGACAACACAGGTGGGTACCCACCGACAGACCAGACAGACACAGGCATGCTCTCATGAGAGAGGGAGGATACACGTTGGTCGCTGTATTCTTGTGTGTGTGTGTGTGTGTGTGCAGGGGGTATTGCCGATGGGCGCTGTCCCTTGAAAGTGGCCGGGGTCGGCTGCTGACCTTCGTCAGGTGGCTGCACAAGCAGATGGAGGCAGGTAGTGGACGAAGAAAGACACACAAGTCAATCAAGTGATGCATCGCAATCAGGGATGCAGCACTGCCACATGGTGCGTGGGTGTCTGTCTGTTGGTGTGTGTGTGGGGTGGGTGGGTGAATTGCAGAGCCTGAGAGCTACGAGGGCATTGAGTACTACGAGAGCGGGCGGAAGAAGGTAGAAGACCTCCTCAAGACCAAACAAGGCTCGCATTTGGATTCGAGTCGTTGGCCGCACTTGGTGCGGAACGCCGTGGCGGCCTACCCCAAGCTGCGGGTCTACTGGCAGACCCTCGACAGCCTCACTGCCAGGTGTGACGCATGCCACAGGGTGGGCATACACAAGGCCATCGTCCTCACGGGACACAACTACGACTCAAGTCAGCGGGAATGCTTGACTGACAGGGCCGACACACCACACATCTCTCTCTCTCGTTCTGTGGTGTGTGTGCAGATGGCCTTTGGAGGGACGAGTTGCGCTCCTTTCATCGTAAGTAGGAGTCGCTGCTCCCTCCCTGCTCCCGCCATCCCATCTGTCTGTCTTTATCTTATCGTGTGTCAGGGTCGTTAGGTCTGGAGTGGCTGGGCAGCCATGCCTTCCCAGACGCACAAGGTGACTGAGTGACTGACACTGACCGATTCACACACAGCCCCGCCGTACATGAACACACATTGGTGGAATTTCTCAGATCCGGCACCTGCTAGTGGTGGTGGTGGTGGCGGTGGGTGTATGAATTTCAGGGACCCCGCCTTCCCCTTCTACACCACCGGACAGCACAGGATTAAATCCCTCGCCGGACAAGGTGAGTGAGTGAGTCGGTGGCACGGATGCAGACGCACACACACATACACATTGTGTGTGTGTGTGTGTGTGTGTGTTTGGCCAGAGGAGGGCCCTCAGAAGCAGCGCGTCATTGCCGGACCGAACGACAAGGAGCTTGATGTTGGTGAGGGGAGCAGTGGCAGAGGCGCACAGACAGACACACACGGCACAAGACACCACTCCACATTCATCTGGCTGGCCGTCTTGTCTGTCTGTCTGTCTGTCTGCAGGCAGCCAATGTGGTGAGAATCTGCGGCTCTGGCACTATGTGCAGCACTACAAGGGTCGGCTGCTGCACCGCATCCACGGCCACCTACTGAGGATGACACCCGACACACTCAAAAGGCCCAGGGCGGCCGCGATGCTCCTTCGCGACGTAAGCAGACCCACAGACAGACACAAAAGGCGATGGATCAGGTCTGTGTGTGTGTGTGTGTGTAGGACCACGAGCTGATGGCTCGTTGGATGCGCGAGTACAACTTTATCGTCTCGATAGATCGGAAGAAGTATGACGAGGAGTACAGGGGGAGGAACGGGGAGGAAGAGCAGCTCCAATACTAGAGAGTAGTACGAGATGGACGAACTGGGCGGGAGTGTGTGGAGGGATGGGCAGGTGTGGATGTATGGGTGGCGGCAACTCCTGTGACATGAATGACATTGTGTGACGCGTGTGGTGACTGACGGTGAATGTCAGAATATCACAGAAGAGTATCCACCTGTCAGCTGCACTGCACCGATATTGATGCAGTCGTCCATCGCACCAGTCATCCCTCTCGTACGTGTGCGTCATTCAGCCGGCGGCAGTGTACGGAGCCCCACCACTGAGACATCACAGTGATGAGGCGGCGATCACTACGGGCGACAAAAGGACGCAGCCGCACCTCGCACCACACCAACGAGACACATCAAGTACACACAGAAAGGGTCACGAGCAGCCCCCTGTCTGTCAGGCTGACTGACAAAGAGTGCCGGCCATTCTCTCTCTCGTCTGTGTCATTTGGGTGTCCTCCGCCCCCCACTCTCACACGAAGTCTGTGGGACGGAATCAACCGACACACAAGACTGCGTGCGAGAGCGAGGAATGAGGACACCCAAGAGACACGGCCAAATTCGCTGACCACATTAGCTTAGGATCCTCCCGTACTACAAAAGTCCGTCTGTAGGTCCGATGGCCATCGCCTCCCACACAGAGATGGAGGGTCATGCGCTTCTCTGCACATCTCGTTTGCCTCTGCTCCGGCCGCCCCCACCGCCATATGGCGACATCCGCACACCCGACCGGCGCGCCCCACCGCCGTGGCCAACAGCATCGGGCCTGCAGAAGTGGGGCAAGGTGCGTGTGGGTGGATGTGTGTGTGTGTGTTAACCTGAGTGTCTTGGTGTGTTTGGGTCGGTCAGTCCACTGCGGTGTGTGGTAGAGAGTGCCGTCGTAGAGCGGCTGCAGCTGCCGGGCACACTCTCGAGAACCTCACCCTCACTGACACACGCACACACACACACAGAGAGAGAGAGAGAGAGACAGAGAGAGAGAGATACATTGGGACAGACAATGAAACATAGACTTAGTTACAATGTTCTCAATCATCCCTCACACACCGACCAGCACCCCCTCCTCCCCGACCCCTCCACCCACCTGATATCCTCAGAGAGGAATTCGGTCCATTTGACTGTCTTGCCGGTCGTCC